ATTCAGTATGCAACCTGATCAAATTATGCATTAGATGTGAAAATGAAATGCTTTTATTATAAACATTCAATAAACAAATGCAATCTAACATACAGGAAGGTTTACTTTGAAGAACTTAATCTCACAGGATTTCATGAACACAAAATCAATAATAATTGAATTCATATTATAAATCCTCTTTGGTATGGGTGTTAACTGTGACTGCATTCAGTAGTTAACCCTCTCTACCATAGCTGACATAGATCTACATAACTATTAATAAAAACAATAAATAAATAAATATTTACAATAATAATATACTTTTGATACACTATGTATAAAAATATGGTTTTTGAGGTAAAAATGACAATGACATAATCATTATTAATTGTGATAATACTAATAATAATATTAATAATAATAATAATGATTAATAATAATAATAATTAAACAAATCAAATTTATAAGTATTTTAGCACCTTATATAGTATAATGGACAGGTTGTATCAAGATCCTTTATATTTAAATTAAAATTAAAAAAAAAAAATTAATTTAGTAATCATAATGTGGCTACTGTACAGTACTCTTGCATTTAATATTAATAATAATAATATTAATATTAATGTTATCTCTAAAGTAGAACACTACTAATATGAATACAATCAAATTATGTGGTGTTTAAATTTCATCATTGATGGATGAATCAATTAAGGATTCCTCGCATAATTAGAGCCATTATGCACATGTTACGTGCAAAGGTTTTAGGCAAAACTGAGTGTCGGCACTTCATGGGAAGAAGATCGCCAAACAGATAATGAAAAACAAACATGTGTACAATATGTTTACATGGTAAAATACCATGATAAGTTAAATAAATAGTAACATGACTTTAATACAATGTGGATTTCATATTTGTATGGCGGATACAGGATGTTGAAAACTGAAAGTACAGCATCCTACTGATAATGGTTACAAATGATGAGATTACCACCAGAGAGCTTTAATGAAGCTTCAACCCAAAACACCAATGTAGTGGCGTATCTATTTATTATTCTAATTAGAGACCGAAGATGCTAGAGACCATGGAAACCCCGGTCCCAAAAATGGTTTTTAATTGGAGGGAGACCTGTATATTAAATTGTTGAAGAAGCCGAGTTATTACACTGTAACAAACATCTAATTTGTTATAAAATTACTATTATTCTATCATAATTTCCATTTTTATTGTATTGCAGTATTGTATTGTACAATAGATCATCTTATTTTTAGAACAAGCCAAGGTTTATTGAGATTAATATTGATTGCTAATCCATATTTTTCTCATCTCAAAGGTAAATATAACTTCCTACAGTAGAAGTTGGTATCAAACTGTCAAGATCATCACATTTTTGATTAAAAAAAAAGCATGCTTAAATACTGTATAGTCATGATGTGCCTATATATGGTCATGACGTGATGTCATCATGACCATATTTATCCATGTCCATGAGTTTTGTTTTTTTTAAACAAAGTTTGTCTGAACAGAGCTTTACATAATAGCTTTATAACATTCAACATCCTATAATAATATTCCTACAATTTTATAATATTTTTAATATTACTGTATTTTAAATTTATTTAAGAGAACATTTTGTTTCTATAGACTGACTACAGTCTGAAATAAATGTGGAATGGAATGGAATTAGAATGAATGAATATTATAATCACTTTCAGGTATTCTCATTCTTTAATTCAGGTTATTTTGGTGTCAAATATTCAATCACAAAAGTTTACGGCACACGTGCAGATGTAATTATGCTATATTTTCATGCATAAATGTAAGTTACTCTATTAGTGTACAGTAATGTATTCCATTACAATTGCCAATGTAATTAGGTTAAGCATAGCAATGTCAGTTACTCTAGAAGTCTGGTCTGTTAATTTGATTTGATTTTTATCATTTATATTACTATAAAAAATATGAAAACAACAAATACAAAAACAAGAGGCACAAGAATCAGAAGTTATTATATCTGGGATAACCCTCCTCAATGGCATTATCTTTCTGTATTATGATGAATAAAAATAAACATGTTTCTTGTGGCCAAAGTAGAGACTAGTATAAAAAAACAATGCAAAAAAATAGAGAATAGCATCTGATCCTATAAGAAACAAATACAGTAGGACTCATTCCCTTCATTAAAATAAAACCGAATTAGAAACTGGTATTTTACGTTCATACTGTAGTAATTTATTTTCAATTCTAAATCTTAACCACAGAGGGCAAAGAGCAAAAATAGCATTTATAAGGTTTTATCGAAAGACCCTTCCACAAATACTGTATAAGACCCCAAAATACAAAATCAAATGATCATTCATTGCTACTATAATATAACTATATAATCAAATTTAAGTGCATTTACTTAATGATCTTTTCAAATATTTTTAGGGAAATAAAGTAGTGTTTGATGTCAATCAATCAATCAAGCAATATATCAATCAATCAACTTGTTATTTTCAAAAATTAAAGATTGTTTACTGGAAAATTTAGTTTGAATACAAAAAATACATTACTGTAAAAAACCACAGACTAAAATTATATACAAAGACTAGTATTAAAAATGGACATACATATTTATACACATTTTCTTAGGTTCATACTGTACATCGCAATAAATTAAACAGGATATTTTAAAAACATAAAATGACAAATTCTGAAGATTGATTGCTTGATATAATAAAATAATTGCTTGTACGCGCTCAAGAAAAACTATCAGAGCGTTCTGTTTGAAACAGAAGCTATCCGAATACCATACTTAATTGTTAACTAATCTCATATGAAATCTGTGTACTGTATTTATTTACCAAGTTTATACATTATTTCAAGAAAAGATAATAGAGAAACTGACTGTATGCAACTTGTACAATGCAAATGCATTGCACAGAGTTAATGAAATGCATGGCTACTGTAGAATAAATTCTAATATTAACACGTTACTTGGCGTTCCAATTTTTATGGTGTCTGTTGTAACATACCAATATCAGCATTCAATACATGGATACGCTCTGTAGCACATTATAAGATAACTCTAAACAAAAAGAAAAATGATGTACCTCATATCCTTGCATGTTTAAGATGAGGCTTAAAATAGCAAATTACGATCGAAAAATAGGGGGTCTTATCTTATATATGCAAATTTTTTTTTTAATCTTTAAAATCATGTTCGTCTTATGTGTGGATCGTCTATAACACGTGCAAATTTAGTACTGAAATTAAGCAACTAACTGTTATGGTCACCATGTACGCTTAAAAAGCCAAAAATGAATGAAAATACTAGGGAAAGCACGGCATTTTGGTAAAGGATGTAAAAATGTCTTCGTTGTTCTAAGGATTTGATGTCAATTAAAGATTAGAATGATTTTGTTTTAGAAACAAGATGACAGTATAAAAAATGGGGGTCCCAAATTTGTTTTGGGAGAGCAGTTAAGGGCACCACAACCTAGCCATGATATCAGTGCTCGTTAGAACGGCATACTTGCCTGTGGTTATGGTGGTGGAACAAGTCTTCTCGGATACAAACCGTAGGCCCAGTGTACACAATTTGGATCATGTGCACTTTAAAGAACCCAGTACATCTTTCGAGACGAGTAGGGTTACCCTGGTGTACTGGTTCATACAGCCTCTGTTACAAAAAGTGCTTATGGACCATTAGGTCCTTTGCACAATGTACATACGTAAACGTAGATGTTTGTTGCTTATGGCGATACCAATCCACACTACTGTAACTTCCTTGAGACAAAATGATAATGAAGGAGTAACGGTAAAAACACGCAGATTTAATGAATTTGCGGAAGATGGGTTATTTTCCAGGAGTTTCTTGTCCAGTGGGAGTGAGAAAAGCCTCAATTTCTTGGATGAAATGTTGATAAACAAAAAACTAGGGTTTTATTCAGCAGTGTGGTAAGGAGAGGGAAGAATACTGTAATGGATGAGGTTTGTTATGAACTGTCTACGTTTTTCTATTTAACTTTAAAAAAAAAAAAAACTCAAGAGAAAAAAAGAGGCAAGATTTGTGTCTAAAACCTTGAAAATAACTTTAAAATAAACTCCAATTCAAAATAAAAAAAAAGATTTATAAGATTTACCTTATCCATTTGTGCAGGCTCAAAGAGTCCATTTCGTGGGATAGTGACCTCTGGTTGACGATAATGATAGATGTAGAAAATGCAAGCTTCAAGCACCAAAGTCAAGACAGCACCAAAGAATACAGAAAGTAGAATTATCAACAGCATGTTGATGACCACTTCTGAAAAAAAAAAAAAAAATCTAAATATTACAACAACTGATTTTTACCCTGGTTGTGGAAGCATGTAGTTCTGAGGTACAGTAAGTCTTCAGGCTTCCTATCAAAAGATCCAGGGTCTGAGTCTGAAGTTAATCACTTGTTTGTGTCCTTGAACAAGGTAGTTTAATTCATGTTTTTACTCTCAACAATGGCGCATAATTGAGTGGGCCAATATATTATAATTTTAGTACTTTTACAAAATGTTGTAAATCTGTACATTGATTGATTAAGAATGATATTATGCACCAAATTTCTAGGCATACACCATAACTTGTGACTTGATCGAACCTTCCCCGTTTAATAGTCCTGCAGGCATGAGAGAATTTCATATTTTTTCAATTGTCCCCGGACAAGTACCCTTAAAAAATGCACTAGTCCTGAAGACAATTTTACTTGTCCCAATGTTATTGCAAAATAATCATAAAAATAAAAAAAACACAAAAGTAAAGAATTTTTGCTATGGCCCTACAACATTAATAGGCCTACATGCATACTGAACTGATCATGCAAAAATGTTTTTCTTTCTTTTTTTAATTTGCAAGAATTTCAAATGTATAATAAAATGGAGAAATTCAAATAAAATAAACTCAAAAGTAATTACTAGTCTTAAAGTCCAGACATTTTTTGTCATCCAAATCAACTAAAAAACAAATGGCTGTGCACCCAAAATCTTTAAATATGTTTTGTATTTATAGACTAGATCAGTGCGAATTTATATTGTAAACAGACCATGTGCAGCAGACCCAGACAGTCAAAAACACTTGTCCCGGGTGTCATGCCTGTCTTGCCTTGTTTTTGTTTTCCCTCAAACACATTTCACAGAGTTTTGAAGAACTTGATTTCTAGTACTAGGCTACCATACACCTATTTTGGTCACATACCAAATCATTACCAAAAACATTGCCTCAAAATTAATATTTAGGCCCTAACGATAATCCGAACAACATCATTTGATTATACTCAGCTGTTGTGTTATACAATTGATACTATTACTGGTATTTCACTGTAAATTTGAAAAAGGCCTTGTTTAGCAGAATAATTTTAAAGGCCTGAGACTGACAAAGGGCCTAGGCCTAGCCCAATTAAGCTGAAGGGCAATTCTATTTTTGGGATCCTCATCATGCTTTTCATCGCACCTGCCTGGGGTGCTTTCGGAAAACAATGACCTGGGCTGGGCCTACCTTTACCTAGCTAAATAATAGTATTAATAATTATACACTGATGAATGAAATAATTGAAAGCATAATGTATTGCGAATGTATATAGAACTATTCAATAATAAACCGACACTAACCTTTTCACCAGAACGTCAATTATTTATATCATAACATCATAATACCAAGGGCGCAGCCATGTTTACAAAACGAAAGCAGTTTTCTCTCTACTCCTGTGATTCTCTTCGATATCGACAATTCATCAATAATCGATACTTGACCTTTGTCAATTGACTTGCGCCACCAGTCGGCCGGCGAAGCGACGTTGGCTGATGTTTGCAAAAAAAGAGTTTGTGTTTTGAATTTTATACATCATCATGTCTGAGTACAGCTTCGTAAAAGCGGGGAAATTAAAATTCAAAGGTAGTACTGATGCAAGCAGGTAAGCATTGGGCTTTGGTCATTTATAACTAGGATTAACTAACTGTTTGAGTTAGGCCTCTGATCGGTGGCCTAGATTAGATATAGGCTAGGCCTGGAGGCCTCTAGGCTGCCTCTATCCCTAGCCTAGGCCAGGGCCTAGGCTATCTAGAATCTACACACTGGCGCTGCCTAGATAGGGCTGTCTGCTGTAGCCGTAGGCCAGGGCCTAGCTAGGTATATATAGGCTATATGCCTAACTAAGGCTGCCTAAGGAAGTACTGCTGGTGTTGGCCTGAGTGTGCTGAGTCTTACTTTTAAGTCTAATCTAAATTTGCGGCGCTCATGCACTTTTTTAGTACTCCACTCTAACTCTAGCCTAAATAAACATTAAAATAACAAGACTAAAGTTGAGGTTAAGGTAAGCATAGGTAAGTTAGGGTTAGGGTGGAGTACTAAAGTGCATTAACGCCAGTTTTGCTTCTGACAGTTTGTTATTCCAAATCTTTGTTTTAAGAAGGTAAATATTAATAGGCATTTTGTTTTTGGCGCTAATATTATGTGGTTTCGCATCCGGCCAAAAAAATTCACCAAATTATTTTACACTTACAATTAAACGGCACAGACATGTTCTTTAATGATTTCACTTTCATTAATACACACTTAGTAGCCGCTAATATCATTCCTAATTAGTTTAATTTACCAATTAATTAGAACAGTACAAAAACTGTACATCATCACTGAAAACCAGGTCATTTAAATAATTTTACTAATTATTACATCGACATGCTCTTAAAAAAATGATAAATTTAAGCATTATAGTAATAACAATCTAATCTTGGGTTTTTTAAATATTCTTTACAGTTCATCAAAAAAGAAGAAACACAAGAAAAAGAGAAAACACGAGAAAGAGGTAAAGGATGTAAGGGAAGAGGAGGCAGAAAAATATGGCAAGTCACTGTTTATGCTGTAGTTCTGGTACAAACTCACCCTCTTTGAACACGAATGTTGGGCCAATTTTGTGGGCAGGATTATTATACCTAGGCTAGGGAATCTCATTCTCACCCAAAAAAGAATGTGACCCTTTTGAAAACTGACTGAATATCATTTTATTTATTTTAGAGTCTTCCGGAAAATTAGACGGCCTCCAGCACCTTTGCATGCAAGCAAGAATCTCCCGGAAATTAACACATCTCCGCAAATTCATAATTTTGCATGATTTTACTGCTTTATTATCAATTTTCTCATGGAATTCAGTGCCGAGGAGTATCACAACGTGCACCAAAATAGAATTAAATGTACATTAAGAAAGCAGTGATGGCACCAGGATTTGCCCGACGGGAACCCCCGCCATAATCATGAATTTTCTTACCACAGCTCCAACCATGGCGTGACTAATGTGGTCTAGACCATCCATCTGTGAAAGTCCCTCCCTGCCCTCCCCTTCGATCCCACCCATTGACTCCCTCCCCACAAATTGACCCTCTTTCCCCACCCTTTGACTTGCCACCGCATTTGCTGAGGAAAACCCAGGCCCTGGTTCTGTGTAACATTTTGTGTGCAGTTAATAAGTTATTAAATTATCGTTTGTTGTCATATTGTTTTTGCTCTGTTCAGGTGGATGGTGGCAAACTTCAAAACCTGAAGAGATTACTGGAACCATTGCCATTGAGATAGGAAATAACACTTATATATATGCAATGGACAATGGAAAGTTTACATTAGGAGCTCCAAATCATGATCGTGAGTAGAATAAAAAAAAAATTTATTTATAGCACAGGTGGGCAAAGTGCGGCCTGTGGGCCACATGTGGCCCGACAGTGATTTTTTTGCAGCCCGCGAAAATTAATTAATTAAAGACCCTGTGTGTGCGGCCCGCCAAGCAACATTGGCTAGAAAACTGCTTATTTGTTATGGCCCGAAACCGATTATATGTAAAAAGTAATATTAAAACTGAGAAGTGGTGTAAAGGCAGTGCTTTGAGGTTTTTGCAAGCTCAATGGAAACATAAAATTTGGGTGCGGCCCTCAGTGTTAAATAAAAAATTCACTTCGACCGACTGTACTTGGGAAATTGAAAAGATAACATATTCCTACACTAGAGTACTTCCTTATCCATCTATCATGGAGTGCTTGTTACTTAAGTGGGCTGATAAGGGAACAAATATTTTCATCATACTTTATGGGTAATTGGTATGATCAACTTATCTATAACATTTTAAATATGCATCATCAAAGTTGTAGCTAATTATATTGGAAATTCCTTGTTTAGCCCCCTCTCAAGTTTAAGAAAATAAAAAAATTGATACTCATTAATAATGTCATATCCTCTAGCCTCTATTGGTCCATCCCCACCAGAGCAACTGATAGCAATAACTATATCAGACACCAAGATTGCATTGAAGTCGGGGTACGGTAAATACATTGCTGTCAATGCAGAGAACGAAGTGATAGGTCGCTCGGACGCTGTCGGCAGTAGAGAACAATGGGAACCAGTCTTTCAAGATGTAAGTGAGGATGTTGTTTTACAATACAGTGAACCTTTCGGCTAAACCCCGCCCCTTGGATATTGTTGCTAAGGCCCCCACAAAATAGCAATGTTAAAACATACATAAACATGTGCATTAGTAAGACAACACATGTACTTGTTCGACATGCATATATATTCCAGGCGCTGTTCTGATTGGTCAGTTGTTAGTTTTTGATTGACACTCCGGAATAGTCCATTATGTAAGGTCTGGTCACAGTACAGGTAGTAACTATACAGTAGGATAATAAAATCCTAAATATCTTTGACTGTAATAGAGCTGATCATTTTGATGATCTATGTTTTGTGATGTAATCAAGTCTTTACTGGAAGTAGGGAAGACTAAACTTTCCAAATACAGTATATGGATCGAGTAATTAGGGGTAATAATAATAAAATCACTACTAGCTCCTTGTAGCAGCAGTTTGGCGCAGCATTTGAGGTTTGGGCTTTCAATCGTAAGGTCGGGGTTTTTCGATTATCCGCTGTGCAGATTCGCTTGTGTCCTTGGGCAAGGCACTTTAGCTACATTGCTTCAGTCCACCCAGCTGTATCAATTGGTAACAGCCATCTGCTGCGACTAACCTGTGACGGACTAGTGTCCCATCCAGGGGAGTACAACTCTCATCTGCTTCACACTACAGAAACTGGGGATAAGCTCCAGCCCTATAAGCCCTAGTGGCTCTGAAAGGATTTAGTAGTTTTTACTAGCTCCTTGCATTTGAAAATATGCAGCATAAATTCATATTTATCACAATTGAAGCTGATTCAAAGTTTTTGAGGTTTGGAAATTTTAATAGCCTCGTAGCAATTTGTAAAGTATGAAAATGCTATTTCTGGCTGGTTTTGAATTTAATATTAATATGTAATAACAAAGCGTTAAGACAGTCTGGGGGAGGTGTTTATTATGTATAATATTATGTTGCATTTTTCTTTTTAGGGTAAAACTGCACTTCAAGGCTATAATGGACGTTTCATTTCCTGCAATAGTCAGGGTGACATTGTTGCAGTTAGCACTAAAGCTGGTCCAGAAGAAATGCTGAAGGTAAATTATAAAGAATAAAGTGGTGCAAGGAAATTAAAATACTTGCTACTGCACCCAGTGACCATTGGACAACTTGTCCAGCATTTTGCCTTACTTCCATTGTTGGCAATGAGCGCTGCACCCAGTGACCATTGGACAACTTGTCCAACACTTTGCCTTACTTCCATTGTTGGCAATGAGCGCTGTACTTCAGTAAAGTATGATATGGAAATTAATTTCTGTTTTCTTGTAATGAATAAGTTGGTGTGTGGTTATATGTTATAACTGGGCCTTTGGAATTTTTTCCACTAATGATTCCTTCATGCACTAATTTTCAATTAGTACCTGAAAAACTAGTATAGTATCTGTTTTTTTTAATAAATATAATTATGGCAGTAAGAAACTGTAGTCAAATTATATTAAGCTACTGTTATTGATTTTAAATTTTATTTGTTTTCCATATCCGTTTATCATAGATCTGTTATTTTTTTTATCAGATTCGCTCGAATAGATCATTGGTAAAGAAACAAAAGAAGTCAGAAGAAGACAGAGGTGACCTAAAGGAATGCGAGGTCAGCTATGTGTAAGTATCAAAATCAGATTAAATGGGTTAATGAAAAGATAATAATATGTAAACTTTTTTGCAATCAATAAGAGTATACATGTGATTTATTTAAATGGTCAAACTAAACAACAAACCACAGAAAAATGCAAAATATGATATGGATTATAAATTAGGATTTGTTTTGGGCCTTCCTGTTTAGCCTTGTTATGAAGTACAAGTCCACATGTGTCTGTGTTGCTACCCCACCTTTTTAGCAATTTTATTGAACGGTAGTAAGTTGTTCTCTCTAGTCATTGCTCTTTAATACACCATCTCGAATTAGTCTTGTGAAAATACCCGGCATTAAGTTTTGGCTTGAATTCATACCTTGATGTATATTCTTTGATTAGCTTTGTAAAGGCTTTTTTCCACTAGGCAAATTTATTCGCGAGAATAGAAGGAGTTGGTTCGGTTCCTGAGCTCTGATTGGTTGCATACTTTTTTCCCTTCGCAAAATGTAGAAACAGTTCAAACTACTGATTTCGCTGAAGCGAAAACTCCAATAGAAATGGGAATGTGCATGAACCGACGCTTTCGGCTCGCACGAATAAATTCGCAAGTGGAATACAGGCTTTAGGAACAAGTTTCTGCTTAACCTCCCCCACACAAAAAGGTGTAAGTTGAAATATTATATTCTTGTGATTCCAGCAAGAAATTCCAAAGTTTTGAGGACCGGAGGCTACGTGTGAATCAAGAAGACCAAAGCAATCTAGAGCGTGCACAAACAAGTGGAAAATTACACGAAGAGTTACTTGATAGGTAAGTATTAGTTGTTTCATAATTAAAAAAAATAGGATATTTTGTACCGTAAATGCTCGAATAAGTGCTGCGACGCTCATAGAATTTTTGGAGGCTTCAATGTGGCACTATTCCAGATTGGCGCTTATTCGAGAGCGGCGCTTATAGAAAAAATATAGGCGTGGCACTTTTGATGCCTGTTCTTACATATCTCACATATTCCCGTCCTCACATATCATAGGTCCTACGTCATCGTAAATAAACATTTATAAAGAAAAGCTTGTGTCTTAATTGTGTTATTTATTCATTTTAACATTGTATTTAAAATCCTTTTTCCCAAAGTGTTTCATTACACCACTCAGGGTAATATATACTCTCGATTAATGTAACCTTCGCGGCGCTTATTCAAGAACAGCGCTTAAAGAAAATATATCACGTTTGGTGCTGCATTTTCAAGCATTTACGGTATTACAACCCCTTCCCTTGTTTGTATTCGTTTCTAATTTTGTTTTGCATTCTGATACCATTCTTGGTTTTTTACAGGCGAGAAAAGATGAAAGCTGATCGGTATTGCAAATGAACAAAAAGAGGGCAGCAGAATACCTACAGTTGACATCAATAAGGGTTGATGGACTATTATCTACCGTACACTCACACTCTTGTATATCAACCGTGTGTTTTCTTGTGTGTACAACCTTGTTGGTATTCCTGAAGAGAAACTGTAAAGAATCACTCCCAGAGATCTTGTAGATGGGCGACTGATCATCAATATGGCGCACCAAAACTATGGTTGTGATCAATAAACTGAACAATTATGGGAAATTTTGAGCTGTTCTAAGAAATTTTAGAATGTACCTGTATTACTTTTTGGTCCATGACTTGTGGCTGACAAGAGTCATATACAAACAGCATATACAATATATTTATTATCACCTTCACCATAATTTTGCTTTGGAATTCTTTAAAATCATTGGTAGTAATGTGTGATGGCATTATATAGCCAGGAATTAGCTATAAAAGAAATTTCCATTTTAAAAAATATTTATTTGTTGTATATTCTGATCTGTGATACCTTAATTATCAGGGGTTGATCCAGAATTTTCCAAACGTAAAACAACATTTTCGACATAGAAAGTGAGTAGCACGTAACATTGGTATGCATCGAAATTTTAAAATTTATTGGCAAAAAGGTAACAGAGTGTTTTTTTGTGATTTAAGGCTGGCAGGACAACATTCAGGAGCGGATGGAGAGAGGCCCAAAAAGGGGGGGGGGGCGCGAAAGTTTGGCTGATCGACACAACACTGTCCTAGGGGAAATGCCCCGCAAAATTTTTGTGTTCTAGACGCCCGAAAATAACATTTCAGGCATTCTGGACTATCATTTCTTTCCTTTTTCTTTCTTTACCTCCCAAAAAGGGGGGGGGGGGCCGCCCAAATCCGTCCCTGACATTAAAGAGAATTCTAAGATGTGGCTTTTGGTGGATTATCAGCATTAAGGGTAAACCCACTGAAAGGCCCATAGAGCTTCAGTCTACAATCCTAAGCCATGAAAATTTGAGCTGGCTGGGCTGCTGTTGCAAACAACAACCTGTTATTTACTACTGTACATGTTTTATACAAAATGACAATTAAAATAATTGAAACTATTGTACATTGGTGCGAATGTATTCTTTATTTGTCTTCAAGATAGAAATTAAAAAAGTAGTTGATACAACGAGTCATAGGCTACATGAGTAACAGACATTAGAACTTTCGGCAGATACCAACGTTTCATTTGTACAAAATTCTTATTTGATAAGAGTTATTCACAAAAAATGTAAAGTTAACATCTTTTAAGGTATTTGGTGGACATTACATTAAATGCATGAATTAAACACATTTATAACAATACTTGGCAAGTTAAACTCTGAACACGAACAAGCATGTCATGTCTATGTGATATGTCCATATATTGGTGTGGTATGACAAAAGAAAGAAAGAAAGAGAAATCTCCAAAATCCAAAGTTATATTTATTGTATATCATGCGGTGTCTTTTGTGCGCTTTACATAAACCAAGAACACCAAAATATTGTACAGCAGATGTAAAGGGAGAACATGGTGCATGGAACAGAAAAAAAATAGGAAACTTAAGTCTTAAATACCATACAATTTAGAGAACCACTACAACCCACCAGTTTACCAGCAGTTAAGGTACAGTCCTTGCAGTACAACAGAATTTAGATAATTACCATATTAGAAATAAATATGTTGCTAAAAAGTTTATATGAATTCCAATTAGAATTTTTCAACAATTTCAAGTATATATTTTTTTAACCAGGGTCTAATTTTAATATTGTTATGGCAACCAAATAAGGGGTAATATTTTCATCATCCAAATGTTTGGTCTCCTGTCCTCATGTCTATATTCATATTTTTAATTACTTATATAATGTCCAGACAGATAAGTAACTCGGCCACTTGGTAGTTTTCGCATCTTTATAAAATGGTCATATTACTATTGCAGTTAACAAAATCATATGTTCTTATTCACTTAGCATTGCAATGCATGCCAGTACAAAATATTTCAGTGAGCACTAAACATTAGTTTATTCTGCTTTTGTATGATTATTTTCTGGATGAAGACAAATCCAACATCTTAATTTTATATTTATATTCAAAATTAATAACTCCAGTGAAGAATATGTTATTTGACATGGTTATACAGTTGAAAGTTTGACTGTAGAAAATTAACATGAAGCAAAATGATTAGGCATTAGCTAAAGAGTATGAGTGTGGTATATCTGTAGAGAGTGGGTGCTCTGAATTAAATGTTCAAAGCAGTGTATTTATGTGCATCCAGTACCCATTACCACTTCTATTACTATTGACAGCAAGGCAAACTGAATAAATATTTTAATTGGTTAAAAACATAGGAAAACTAAGATTAAGTTTTAAACACTGAGTAAATAAAATTTCACAGAAAGCATTACTCCTGTAATCACTCCAGGATCAACAAGATTTCTGAAAAAGATAGAAAAGTACATATTAAGACCAATAATTATTATTAATTCTTCTGTGAGACACTTTAAATCAGCCTATTATACCCTTTAACTTCCATCCTACAAAAACATATGGAATATTGATTATGTAAATTATTAATTACCACAGATACCAACATTTGTGTTTATAATACCAGGTTTTAAACCAGATAAGACTGGATTACCCAAATGTCAGTAATGTTACCAATGAATTCACTACCAATGAGAACATACCATCACACCATACCCCACCCCAACCCAACATCATACAGAACAACCTAAGCAAATACCACAGCCTCCCTGAAGCTTCCTTCCTTCAGAAAATAATAAAGTAGATACTTGTAGTGCTAGAGATTGTCTGGCACTTTAAATAAAAACTTTTATTATGGACGCAGTGGTTGAGATGCAGAAGATTTATAGCCATTACGGAATAAATGATCTTTGATTCCAAATCCTATTTTGTGTTTGTTATTCTAAATGCAAGTCACCTGGATTAAGCTGTGCCTACATAAGTAGTCGCCTTTCCAGTCTTTTTTATAACTTCAAGAACCTCATCCGATGACAGGTCAGTTTCAACAAACACCTTTTTCTTTTCAAGATCCACTTCAAATTTAGCAATGCCTTAAAAGAGAGAAAATTGAAATATTAAAATGATGGTTTCAATGTACACAAAAAAGCCCCTATGATCTATCTTACCGTTGCCAATATTTTCTATTCAGTTAAGTGTATTTTTTTACACTGAATTCAATAATGCTTAATTCGAATTGGGTACATTTTTTATTGCTGTAATAAGTGGACTAACACAAAAACAGAAATAATAATTTACTGTATTAAAAACAATGGCCAAACAAATTTGTCATAATTAAATGTTGTTTTTTTTTCCAATTTAGATTAAAAAGTTACAATTATTTATTTATTTACTTATTATTTATTCATTTGATGCAAACTGTACCATACCTTCCTTTTTATTCAATACCCTCTCTACTGCACCAGAGCATCCTCCACATGTCATTTCTACGTTAAATTCATATCTCTATATTCAAAATATAAATCAAAATATATAAATATATTTTAAAAGATTGCCTAGGCTTACAATACATTTAAAAAAAAATGCAGCTACAATAATATTAATTTTAGGCTTACATGCTACTGCTAAACTATGTTATAACACCATGGTCTTGGCCTAGGGTGTACAATAAATCAACAGCCAAATGTAATGTAACCGCCTAGCCTAGGCCTAACCATTTTTTGTTGGCTTTGATATTTTTTCCCTGTTTTATCTACAACAATACATTCTTAAAATAATTTCTAATAACAGTCAGATTATCTAAAGCCAATATTTTACAAATATATCAATAAATTTATGTTATATAAATGCTTACATTAGACATGATGACTTGTTTCTCTCGACAATTCGTAGTTGACAATCTTCTTAAAATAATAATAAAAAAAACAAATATGGCGATATCAGCCGATATCAGCTGACAGGGTAATAATTGACCACCTGACTGAACAAGTCAGGTGGTACAATTAATAAAGACGATTAAAGAGGGCGTTTTTCTGATTGCAGAAAGCAGCCATCTGTACTGTGTAATAAGATCTGTAGCGTTAGGCCCCAGTAAGTTTACTATTGATTTTCATATTTATATTCTAAGATTTTGTAGGAATATATTGATCCTTGTTTTATTCACAAGTCCAGGGTTTAGGCTAAATACTAACTATGACTAGTTTAGTAGGAACCTAAAGCTAAGCTAGCTTATATAGCCTAGAGGTAGGCCTAGTGCTGCTACCAATTGCTGCAACACGGTACAAACGAACGGACATAGGCAGCTGCTACGGGCGGAGCGGAGGCCATGGTTTAACTAGGCTTATGCCCTTTTGCCCAGAGGCAAGACCTTTTAGCTACTGGGCCATGGAATTTGAAGACAACATTGTGGAAACAAACGGAACCACAATGTTTGTAATTTAAATTAATATTATAATTTGTAATTTAAATTTATGGTTTTATAATTTATGGTTTTGTGATTGTTATATTATACAGTATATAAAAAGTGGCTATAGTATAGAGTACGACAGTGTTACATCACGATACCATGTGATACTACTCCATTTCTATCATTGCAAAATGCATTCAACCGAACGCCATTTTCCCCACTGACAAACCATTGATCCCAACTTCTAATGTAATTATTAAAGATGATGTATCTTATACTTTTTCTTTGTAAATTTTAATCAATGATTAAGTGTGTGTTCGATAACTACAGTAGAACCTCGTTTTTATGTACCCCAGTTATACGAACCCTCGGTTTTACGTACGCCTCGTATCGACGATGACGTCATCAAAAACCCCGAAAATATTCAAAACAAACGGCCCTTTTCAGAGCAACCATAAGTAAAAAGACTAAAACAATAAACTATAACAATATTTAACAAACCATAATGCAACAAATTTTCATTAAACTGCAACACTGATTGAGCCTAATACCGGGTTGTTATAATTTAAAACCACGTGCACTGAGTGAGATGAGCAACTACCGATGGTGCTCAAAATAATTGCTTTTCTCCTTAGCTTCGTGTGGCAAACCATGGAACAACTCGTCTGGTCGAATTTTCTACATGAAGCTGAGTAGACATAGTTTCTTACACGAATGCTAATTGGTTGGCTCGCCCAGTGCATAGCACATGGTTGCTGTTTCACGTACACGAACGCTAATTGGTTAGCTCGCCCAGTGCAGCGCACATGGTTTTTGTTTGTCTCAACAAACAAAATAAAAGATATAAAGTGATGAATTAATACACTAGACACATGGTTTTATTTGAACACTTTATTATGAATCGTAAAGTGATGAATAAAAACACTAAACACATGGTTTTATTTGTAGGCCTAGAGGCTGGTCTAGCCTCAGGTAACATCGTTCGTTCGTACGTACGTATATATTAGGTCAAAGGTTACCACAAATTTAACTCAACCTCTATTTTACGAATCCCCCGATTTACGTACGCCCTCCGGTCCCGTACCGTATGTAAAATCGAGGTTCTACTGTAATATAATGCAAACTTTTGTGTTTTTAGTACATTTTGATGGCAAAATATTAGATTTTAAAATGCCTATTCCAGAAAGCCTATGAAGTCATTCAGGTGTAATGAACGGTAATCAACGTCTGTTGACAACAGACAGCGCCACCTGGCGTCGTGACGACACGACTGTGGTACTCTATGTTTACGTTGAGATCCAGTGCATTAATAGTGAGAGATATTTTTAAGGTTAGGGTAAAGCCAAGTCGACCAATCAGCACGTTGGGAGTACAGCCACGGCCTATACATAAATAAAGCCCCATTCCCAGTAAAAATTTATTTGTTAAGAAAAATCTGATTTTTATATCTTATAAAGATAAAAATGTAAAATGAGACTAAAATTTGATTTTTTGTGTTCCACACAAAAAATAAGCCTAGATGAATTTTTTATGTTTGATTTTGCGATAGGTCTGCAAAGAAATATAGTAGACACCGAAAAATTAGTCTTGCAACACTGCTAGACTAGGCCTAGCCTTACAGTACCTCGATTTAGGTTCTGTTATCAGACATAAAAATGGCCGACATGATATTTTCCATTCCTAGTATTGGCACATTTGGCCTATTTTGACAATTAAACAAACATGTCTCTGGGCTACTGTACTCGATTGACTGCAGTGTGCAAAATGTGAAGTACAAACACTAATCTCAATTTACTTAGTAACAAAGAAGTTGTCAAGAAAATGGTGATCTCCTATGAGAAATATTAAATTTATGCCAATATTTTTTCATGGTTTATAATATTTATAGTAATGCATATACTTTTTTTTATTAAAAAAAAAAATTGCAGGGAATGGGGCTTTAATGATTAATTATTACTATAATTTATTTATATATTTTATTATGATTGATGATATTATGAACCATATTATTATTTAATATTTAAATATAATTGATGAGGGATAAAAGTATCAGTTAAAATTAAAAATAGCTAATCTGTTGATTGATTGATTGATTAACATATTTTTTTTTATGTTTTAGAAAACAGGATTTTTCATTTTGGGTTCATTCAAGTAATAACATGCCAAAGAAAAAGACTGGTGCTCGCAAAAAGGCCGAGAAACAGAGGGAGCGGCAGAAAGGAATCCGTGCAGGCAATGACCTGAAAAGCATTGTAGATTGGCCATGCAATTTTACCATGGTATGTTAATTAGGTCAATATAGGTCAAGTTTCAATCTCAAATTGCTTAGAAATATTTATTAAAAATCTAAATCCTTTCCGAGCCACTAGAGCTCATATAATTGGAGCTTATCCCCAGGTCTTGTAGTATGAAGCGGATGAGAGTTTTACTCCCCCTGGACGGGACACTAGTCCTTCGCAGGTTAGTCCCCAGCAGATTGCTGGTACCCATTGATACATGGCAGGTGGACTGAAGCAATGTAGCTAAAGTGCCTTCCCCGAGGAGACAAACAAATCTACACAGCAGAGACTCGAAACCCCGACCTTACGATTGAAAGCCTAAACATAAACAACTGCTCCAAACTGCCGCTTAACATTTATTAAAAGAATACTGTATATTTACTTTCCAATTACATAATTAATATAAATATATTGCATATACATGTGTTACAGTGTTTTGTTGTTCAATAATTATAATTTTTCTTTTATAAATCACATTTTCAACAGTAGCTATAAGGGCATGGGTAAAACTCTGTAACTTTGGCCCTAATTTTCTAGTAAACAAACTCATAATGATTTTTTAATTTATGAAAAAACTGATAATATTTTTTTTACCTTTCTTTTACAGGAGTGTGATAAGTGTAAAAGGTCAGTAAAGGTCATTATCGTTGATCATTTATTCATTAGGTCAAAGCAATTTTTAAAAATAGAAATCATGCTTGCTTCAATATTTCTTCACCGATTACAATGTTGTTCTGCATCTCTTTTGTATTATAGGCGACAGAAGAACAGGGCTTTTTGTTACTTTTGTCAGGCAGTACAAAAACTACCAGTTTGCGCCCATTGTGGTAGGTAGAGAATGTTTAAAATGAGTAAATAGGTAGTTTTCGCCGCACGATGTTAACCTTAACTTTATCGTTAGTACCCAACATGCAACACGATAGCTAGGCCCCTTTTTGTAAACAAATCGAAATATGCATGCGCAATCCCGTAACTAACGTATGTCTAGCATGTAAAATCTTGAAATTAACGTACTCCGCAACGCAAGATGAATAAATTATGACGTCATCAGTTAACGTTAAGGTTAACGTCGTGTGGCGAAAACTACCTATTTAAAAGAGATAATGATCACACTAGGCGTGTCACATAATATAGTATTATAAATAGTGAATTAATGTTTTTGTGTTTTAAGGTAAAACTAAGTGCATGCAGAAGTCTGGAGATTGTGTTGTAAAACATCCAGGAAACTTTGCTGTTGGCATGGCAATGGTGGTAAGTGAAACATAACATTTTGTTTGGAAAAAAAACTTCAATATTTGTTGAAACTGTGATAGGTAATGATAATAAAGTTTATGAAAATAATATGCAAAGTTTCTAAGAATATTTTAATTATTCACATGAATATATATGCTGATAATTACCTACAAAATTATATTAATAATGACAGAATTATATGTATGCAAATGATAAGAAATTAAAGTAACTATATAGAAAGGAAAAAATGTAAAATAATAAGCATTTTCTTCCTTTACTCCTATTGATTGTTTTTCCTTTATACTTATGTGACTGACGCTGTTGTAGGTGGTCATGCCTTAAAGTTTTCTTTAAAATTATTATGACCTACATTCACACGATAAACTTGTATCATTTAGAATTTTGTTAATTTTAAATAGAATTTTTACTTACTTTTTGTAATTTGTAATTTGATTGTTTATTGTATGTATATATATTTATCGTGTGATAAAATATATGAAACGAAACGAAACAAAGAAATTAATACCGATGATAATAGTAAGATTAATTACGATAAATTAACAAACAGAATGTCAATAATGATGATGAAAAAGAAAATGATTATTGTAACTTTACTTATTATTTAATTACATAGGGTGCTATATGTGATTTCTGCGAAGCATTTGTCTGCCACGGTCGTAAATGTCTGACCACTCACGCTTGTGAATGTCCGATTGCAGATGCCGAGTGCATTGAATGCGAGCGTGGAGTCTGGAACCATGGTAAACCTCCTTTGATATTCTTCCCACAATGCAGCACTTGGATACTAAGTTCTAAGTCTCGCCTTTCAATTACAGATTGCATTCTTGCATATTATGTGTAGTTTAAAATTATTATATTTATTATTATTAATATTTAGAATTACTGTACTGTATATTTTATTCAGTTGTGTTTAATTTTGTAACAAGAGGTTCCAGGTGTTGATGAATGCTTGTGGTGGTGGACCCTTTTCCACTAAAATTGAAAACTTATGTAAAGAATATATTTGTAAGTTTGCGTAATAGTAGTGTAGGTAAATGGCGAAACCTGAAGCTCTCACCTCACAGGCCAGAGTGCCCGTCTCTCTTTCCTTGCGTTTGGGCTAGACTGTGCAAGTATGTAGGGGGGGGGATCCCTCCCACATACTTGCGTAGCAATCTGTTTTACCTTCCCAGGATCTGGTACCCATTTATACTCCTGGGTAGAGAGAGACAAATGTAGACAAAGTGCCTTGCCCAAAAACACAAGCGACTTGCACAATGAGGGTGTCGATCCCCCGACCTCAAGGTTGAGAGTCCAGGCCACAACAGTTGTGCCAACCGCTTCTAAGATCATAATAAGATCATTTGAATCATTGATTGATTAATCCATAGTTTACTGTTAAGCAATATTTTCATTTGTGCTTTGCATTTTTTTTCCCAGGTGGTAGGATATTCAAATGTTCTTTCTGTAGTGAACACCTGTGTGAAGATGATCAGTTTGAGCATCAGGCTAGCTGCCAGGTCCTTGATGCTGAATCATATAAATGTAAGGCTCTTTTCCACAATATCAAGTTTATGTGAAAATTCACAGTTGACCAATCACTGTTGTTTGCCCATATATGGGTGCGATATTACAGCATCATGCCTATATTTGGGCCTATCACTGATATTTGTCACAGAAAACTTGATTTGAGTTTGTACAGAGTAGACTTACTATATGTGGCAAAGACAAGCCAAAGCAGTCACTCATCGCAAAAATCGATCTTGCGTTATTAATACAGTGTTAGAGAGTAAAATAATAGCTATAAAATTGTAAAAAAATCATTCAAATCGGACATTTCCTTATGAAGTTACAAGCGTTTAACCACACAGCTGTTTAAAGAACAATATATGAGAAATCAGCCTTTAAAGTTTATGATTTCAGGCATTTCTCATGCAGAAACTATCTTTAAATCCTTAAAATTAAGTGTTGTTTTAACATAGAAAATGGGATAGGATGGTGTGTAGATATATAAAGGTTAGTTTAGTGCAATAAAATAGATTTTTTAAAATTTGACATTTTAGCATGTTTTGGCCATTTTCTCTGAAACACGATTTGCGACGAGTGACTGGTTTGGCTTGTCTTTGCCACATATTACACTCAAATAGATCATAATATTTTTGTTGGAAGCAGCAGTGCATGCAAGGCTAGTGCATCTACGGATTGGTGTTCCTCATGTTGCAGTTATAAATCATTATTTAGCACTTGCCCAGGTTTTGTGTTTAGGGATAGATGTGTGCATAGATGCAAACCTGTAGGTAATGTAAACCCAGTGTGGAAAGTGCCACAGTGTTTTATGTATACATATATGTCTAGAGATCAATTTCTGTATATCGTCTTCTTGCAGGCTTATCATGTAATAAACTTGGCCAGTATTCTTGTTTAAGGTGTAAGGTAAGAATCATATGATTTGATGTAAACAAAATTAAAGAACAATGTATTGGTGACTATCTGTTTACAAGTATTATGCAAAAGAGTTGAGAAACCAGGAAATTTGAGCTGGATCCCAGTTGGCCTAATTTCAGAAGTAAACTGGCAGAAAATTCACTGCTCCTTCTCCCAAGAGTGTGTATTGTGTTAATTTAACTTGTACATGAGGTATGTTTTGTACACAGTCGCAGAAGCCAAAACACATCTTTCGAAAGTCAGTCTGTGCTAGTACCTCTCATACAGCATGGTTAAAAATTGTCAGTGACATAATCAATGAGACAGGATTCCTAAAAAGGATTCATTCAAACTGTAGCTATAAACTATAAAATGGGACATTGCATATTTCAAGTAGGGAGGGAAGATTGATTACAGTGTTTTCTGCCAGATTTAATTGCTGTGTGTCTGTTTCACTAATATACTGTATAATAATATTTTTTTTTTAGATTTGTTTTTGCGAAGATCACATTAGGCGGAAGGGGTTTAAGTATGAAAAAACTGTTGCCATTCCATGTCCTAAATGCGGTTACGATACCAAAGAGACAAAGAATCTGTGCATGTCAAGTGAGTTTACAAAATTTACATTTACTTTAACGACTTGTCCAGACTATCAAATTTCATTTGATAAAAACATGTGACATGCCTAAATATGGTCATGATGACATCACATCATGACCATATATGGGCACATCATGACTATATATGGGCATACAACATTTTTTTTTTAATGAGTGTAAAATTTCATTTTTTGTAATCAACAGCTCGTAAAATTGATTTTGGTCGTCAACAAGCAAGCGGTTACGGAGATGATGATGATGGTTATGGAGATGATGACTATTACTCTTACGGTGCATCATATGGAGGTAATGTTTTATAGCCCAGAAATGATAGTATATTTGTAGATATAGCTTGTTTATTCTGTAAGTGGGAACGTCGTTGTTGGATTAAATAAAATAAATAATTACAAATCTTTCCTGGGGGCCGTGTAGTACTACAGTGGGGTGCAGCATGAAACAACCATCTGCTATGCAATTTTTGACATTTTAAGGACGTACTTTATTCTATTTCTACATGATTTGCTTTGTGGTTCTGGCAAATGGCGCCATAAATTTCTTTGACTTAATACTGGTCTTTTTCCTCATGGTTTCTAATCACATATTCTTCTTGGGTACACTTGTATTCTACTAATTTTCTGCCATCCTTCCTACAGTTCATTTAAACCTTGGGATGTATTTTCAGGTGGGCAAGGCTATAGTTATGGAAATGGGAATAATTATGATGATGCGGATGAAGACGATGAGGATAATGAAGAAGAAGAAGAGGAGGAGGAGGATGAAGAGGATGATGAATTATCTAATCCACTGTCAACCTTAGATATTGGTCCAACATACGCATCATCCAAGGCAGAATACAAATGAAGATGGTAAGGATGAGGAAGAGGACAATACCAAATGGTAGATAAAGAGGAGAAGAACACAAAGTTAATAGAATATATAATCCAATAACAACATTAGATATTGGTCTAACATATGCATCGTCAATGCACTATACACAAGATGATAAGAATGATGATGATGAGATAGATAGTACTGAATGAAGAGGAGAAACAAAAGATATAATTTTGGATGTTGCTCAATGTATTGATACATTTTCCACGCCCCAGTACAAATTTGAAAATGATAAATGTTTGCTAACATTAAAAAAAATATTCATTTATTTTATATAATTAATAACAAATATTATATTCCTTGTGAATTGGCATACACCCTCTGATGAGCTGTCTGCTACAATAAGTTATTGCACAGTCAAAATGAACATGTATGGAGTTTTTTGTGTAGTCTAACACAGGATAAATCCGGAAAGAGCCATTTACGGTTCTTATTTTCTCCATGCTCGAACAGGTGTTAAACTCGAACCTCCTACTGATATCCGCCGATAATCCAACGCTGCAAATTGCAGTGTTTTGGTGGAGCAAAACTGACCTATTTGCGCATGCGTTAGCAGCAGGAAGCATTTTTGTTTAATCCCTTTCTGATTGTTCCTAATTTGTTTTGGCACACGCCAGAAGTAAACTTTGTTTACATTTTACTGGTTTCTGCTTCTTTTACAGTTCATTTCAGAAAACAAAACTGATAAAAAAAAATTATTTCAATGGAGGGCTAGCCTAGAATCCAGATTGTTACCTTATTACGTCCGTACGTCGCATGCATACTTGATCACTGTTTATTATGGTAGTAATTTGCTGTTTTTAAACTAAGAAGGTATAAAGTTTAAACTACCATTGTGAAAGAATGAAAGTTTATTCATGGTTTATACGCCCACAATATGCACATCTGCAATTTATTGGGAATTTGCCATGTATGCTGCATGAATGAAGCTGCTTATTGTTGTAGCTTCTTCTGTCATTTCATCACTTGATTTTGAGTCTCCGTTGATGCCGCCTTCTATTCCAATTAAATATCCTGCCATTTCCAGGATATGTGCCTGGATACATACCAACGCTGTGACTATTGCCGTTATTACAAATTTACCTTTTTAAAATGGCCAATAATAAATGTGTCAATTATAGCAAACGATGTTATTTTGTTATTTTTGACTACTGTTATTAATGATCACTTGTGAAATGAGGCACAGATTATATCTAGAGAGATGAAAACAGAAAAATAGAAATCATTGGATAGAAACTCTATTAACCTTAAGATTTACATCCGAGGTTAGTGGTTCTTTTAAAGCATAAATCATGCGCGAACAGGTAGACCACCCGCGGATATAATACCGGTAAGAACCCGTCATAAATTTTTCACATTTTCGCCCAAAGCACCCTATTTAAATAATCATGAATATTTAACAGCAACAGTTGGTTATTATTTTCACTCTGGTACATGATGAACATGTTACTTCATTTTAGTGATAAATGTTTTATGGACAAAATTGTAGGTAGTAATAGGCCTATTTTATTTGTGCATAATCTTGCCTAAGCAGCATTATAATATAATAACAATATACGTTTATTTATTCTTCTATACTGTGAATAAACATTGAAGACGATTTAACTAATTTACATCTCTATTTCTGATTGGTCAAGTTATGGAAGTCAAATTCCAGGAGGTTAAGCCATTTCTTAGTCTGAACTATGCATGCTTACATCAAAGTCAGTCTACATAAACAAACATCCATACATACACACCAAAGATCTTTGATACACACACACAACATACGTTTATGTCGATTGACCTTGGGTACGGGCATGCTTAGTTAAAACTACGAAATGGCTTATTTGTCGTGCAGGTTTGGCAGAGGTTTGCAACGTGTGTACTAACGTAAACGTGTGTGCAAGTACAAACATGTACAAACTTGTTACCATGTTTACCATAAAAGCGATGATGATTTGGCAGCTTTGGGTCACTTTTAATTCGTTATTGCTGCCCATAATGTTCGATAAGACTTATGTTTGCCATATTGTCTGCATAAGAATGGGAATATTGAGCTTAGCGTAAGCTCCAGTTGTGAAAATTTTTTAAAAATCAGGGAGGAAATGTGGAGTTTCCTGGAGAATGGGAATGAACCAAAATTCCTGGAGACTCCTGCTCAATCCTGGACACTTGGGAGCTCTGAGTTATTGATGTCATCGTCAGATATACTAATCATAGAATAATGGAAATAATGTTACAAGAAGATCAATAGAAAATCCATGGGAAAAAAAATTATTTACATTTATTCAAATATATACATCCACCATAATTATTATTATTATTTAACATACCAATACTGTTGCACAGTATTTGAATTGATAAACTAAATCACATCGTATGTAAAAATATACATGGTTGATGTTAAAGGCAAGAATGGAGTCAATGCTTAGATTGTCCCTAATCTTGATTTAATGAAGGAAAGATATTTTTTTACAATGAGAAATAAATCTCGTTGGAAACAGACATTATTGATAAGGAAAGAAAACGAAAAATTATGTTTTTCATGTACCCAAATACTCAAGTGGTCTGGAAACAAAACGTTGCTTTAATGGAATTTATGCAGTGCAGTGCACCCTCCAAAATGATCAAGACCACTCTAATTTCGAGAATAATAACACAACGGTAACCATACAATTGGAGACCAAACCAGGCATGAGACCACCTCACATTTTTAGGTTCCAAAGGTGGTTTCGAATTGGAGGTCGAGCTGTAAGAAAATATTAACCGTTTTTCCAATGCAAAGTTGTAAGAAAATAATCGTAGACAGAATAAATCGGAATATTTTTTGAAGTTAGTTCTTTATTTATTCACACTTTCAAATTAAAACTGAGACCAGCTAATTCTGGCTTATGAGTGAAGAACAGGACATATTATTAAAAGACATGCAACATTAATGATTGATTGATTAAATAATTATGATAAAATAGGTTTACAGTAGGCTGTTATAACCTGTATTTTGAGTACCATGTATGATCATGGAAGAAATATATTAAGATTTCCTCCATGCTATGATGTACGCATCCACTTTGCTGCGTGTCGAGTACTGTTTGCGTCATTCACCTGGTCGTCTCATTTTGGCCGGTACGCATGTAGGCGTCTCCCAAGGTGAACGACCAATCAAATATGGCCACTGATAGGCCTATCCATGGTACATGTATGATTGCATTACACAAGTTTACGAATAGCCTTTATTCTGTATTCTTTCTATGAACCGACTGCTTACAGTGACGTCAGCGATTTTGCTTGTGCCTGTTTGACCTTGTTTTCTATCATGCGTTCCATTAATACAGCTTTGTATTCCTGCCACGAATCTTGAGTTTCAATTCGATCACTAGCGTCTTCCTCGTTCATCCAGTCCCTGATCTATGGACAACAAACACAGGAAGAAGCGCATTCAATTCATGATGGTGAGATCCAAAATCATTCATACCTATGTTGCATTATGCCATTTTAATGGCTTCAAGTACTTTATGGAATAATGTCTAGTTAATGACTTGCACTTGAAGATAAATCAAAGTTTTTTAAAGAGTAAATTTATAATAGCGGCGGAAGCCCCAATGGCCTAGGTAGTCTTGGCCTCTGCATATAAAAAAAAAGTTTATTTGATGTTTTCGTTTCCGATTTTCAAATCAATACTGTTTATCTTTAATATCGTATTAGCGCTACATGAAGCGCTATATAAGAGCGACATATTATTATTATTATTATTATTATTACATGGTTAAGAATTTTAGTGGCGGATCTAGGGGTACGAAATGGATAACCTCTTCCCCGGCAGCAGCAAAAATCTCAGACCAAGCGTAAAATCGTTTAGATGACAATAAAAATGGCTACAAATCCATAGCTTTTAGGGGTGTTTGTTATATTTTTAAACACCCGGGTAACTTACCAGCATGTCCACTCGCAACATTGTCGGTAAACCCGCGTTGTTCTTGAAGAAACGTTTGTTGATTGCAACGATTTCGGCACCTTCACTCCACTACAAAACAAATACATTACATTTCATTCATCATTTTATGCCCGTTACTAATATTAAGATTTCTGTAACCTTTTCAATCAATCAATCAATCAATTTATTCATTAACTTTAGGCCATTGGCCCTTTGTATATACATAAAGAATCATAAAATAATAGCGAACAATGTGGAAAATCAAATAGTTGTAAAAGGTTATCTATCTCCGTTCTCCTCTTAAATGCATGCTGTAAATAAAAATGCATATTTTTGTATTATTAGTGGACTGTGCGAGGTCATTAAGGAAATAAAGTTATAGCCTATTGTGTGGGGAAACAAACAAAATATCGTGGGATGTATTTTTCTTTTAAATCACTGTATAATTTACATTCGAGAAGAAAATGTAATTCATCTTCAATATCTCCCTTACAAAAGCAAATTCTATCCTCGAAGTTAATATTTAACTTTCTACCTTCCTCAATTTTTAAATTGTGGCTAGAAATGCGGAACGAAGTAAAGATCTTTTTGAAATATGGATTTAAATTAGAAGAAAGGTAGTTTTCAAAAGCAATATAATATTTGAACAGTAACATTTTAGCCTATTTGACTCGTTAACTTGTGACTCCCATTCTTGTTGGTCAATATCTAAAGAACGTTGTTTAACAAGACTTAAAAAGCAAACATCATCACCAACACCTTGGTTAAGCTATGCTTCCCCGAACCCATAATGGAATAGCAGTGAACGAACTGCGTTCTGAGCCCAACAGTTTTTATCATTATCAACAAATCGCAATTGTTCTATAAGCGTTATGAATTAGTCTATTTCTATCGGTTTTTAGAATACGTAACCAATACTTAACAAGTTTATGTATTCTATTGGCTCGTACACCTTATTTCCCTAACTCGCCTCTTACAGCCAAATTAACGGAGTTAGTTTTCTGATTTAATATGAATTTACAAAATTTATTTTGAACATATTCCAAATCAGCTCCTTTAATATATCCCCACACCTCAGAACAATAATTAAAAATAGGCATTACTTTTACATCAAATACCTTTAAACAAATGTCAAAACTTAATTCAGGCAAGGATCTTAAACTAGACATGATAGTGTTTGGTGTATACCCTCCCATTTCGTAAGCCTCTTGCTTAAAATTTTACAAAATATCTTACTAGTTGTTACAAGCAGAGATATGCTACGGTAATTTTGGGGCATATTTCGGTCTCCTTAAAAATAGGCATTATAACTGCTTTGGACCAAGAGGATGGGATTTTGCCAGAATCTAGTATAATATTAAAAATGACTGTTAAAATCAAGATAAATGCATATCCGCATCTTTTGAAGAATGCAGGGGGAATACCATCCATCCCCGGAGCCGAATTACCCTTTAAACTATTGATACTTTCTTTGACTTCATCAGCAGTGATAGGAGCATTCAGTATCTCAGCAGTTTCATCTTCAATAATCTCGTTAATATGTTCATTCAATATGTCAACACTATTAGTATTCTGCATGATAGTGGCTTCGCCGCTTTTGTTGGGATTGAAAAGTTTTCGGAAATAGTCTGACCACTCATCAGCCGTAATGGTATTCTTAATTTGATTTCTCTTTTTAAAAGTGGTCCAGAAGCGCTTACCATTGTCTTCTGTCAGAGATCGAACAATCTTTTCTGAAATGGCTTTATTGTATAAATATATATATTTAATTTTTTTTACACGTTGTCCACTTACCACTGCAATGCCTGACTGATCGGATGGCGTATTACCCAGAAGGTCATTCAACCCCTGATATGAAAAGAATAACATTAACATAAAATATATTTAATTTCATGGATTACAATGTACATTATACTGTAGTGAGTTGAGATAAAGGAACATCTATAAACTAGTTAGGTTAACCTAAGATCTCTTTACTATTTGTATGTGACGAATACCATGAGTATTGATGTGTGAAATGATAAATTTCCTTCAAAATAATTTATTTGATTTGTTTTGATAAGCAGTAAAATATTTAGATAATTTTTGACAGTTTTCAGATTCAACAACTAATTCAGCATACGTCGAAATGTTTAGATTATTAGATGTTTAGATGATATTAGAGACAAAAATAAAAATAAAGACAAGCCTATTTATGTGGCGTAACAGGCAAAGGGTGGGGGAGACTTCCCCCTGACGGTTTTTACCGGGCTGGATATTAAGAGAAAAGAAAGAGGGGAGAGGGAGGGAAAGAGAAAGAAAGGGAAAAGAAAAGGAAAGGAAAAAAGAGAAGAGGAAAAAAAATAAAGAAAAGAATAAAAAGGAAGATATTATAATGACCAGACTCACAACACCCTGCAACCCCTTCTCCACTTCAAAAAGTGTCCATAGCTACTTTGATCTAAGCCGCCAGATATTCTCCGCATTGGTGTAACCACCGGGGGACAAGGAGAAAATATCCATCTGTGGAAAATCTTTGCCCACCCCTTGAAGATGCCCTTTTCATCCCCTGAAAGTGCCTAAAAATCTCAAATTTCGCGCGCTTCGCGCGCACATTTCTTGTTTGAGTAGGGGAAATTTCCTCTAAAAAATTGCGCATTTCAGGGAGTTTTGATCAATTCCGACAAAATTAGAATTAAAGACACAAAAATAGAAAGAACATTTATGATAGATCGTTTTACCTAAAAGAAGGGCCTCAATGTGTATTGATGGTGAAAGAATATGTTTGTAATAAATAAAGCCTTGATGAAAATGCTTATATGTTTCAAACACATGTGTATGGCCTATATTATAAATAAGATAAGCCCTATGTTGTATTGTTTTCTATATGGGGGGGGGGGTGGGGTGGGGGGTGGGTATGATAACCGGGAAAATTATTGCCTTTGCCCCCCCCCCCCCCCGACTAAAGACCCCTGTTACGCGCCTGTTATTACGTATTATCCTAGTATAAATTCTATGAAATTTTAAGAAATACTAAGTTAATTTTTTTTCCTTACAAATATGTCTCCTTGTTGTAGTGTATCAACTTGTAGATAAGCCAAACGTTGAACATCTTGCGGGCCTGCAGGCTCCCGACAGTTTCCTTTACGCTTTGGTCCTCCACTTGCTACCGAAGTATCCGTCCGCGACCGTTGTGTCATAAATAATCCACTGCTTCTAAAATATTTAGGCTTATGAAGTGTTGGGCTAACTTCCGGTTCTATAATAGCTAATACAGGCAGGTCAAGGGGTGCTCTAGTGCTGTCGGTTCTCTTTATTCTAGGCTTAAGTCTATGGTTTTGCTGTTAAAAATGTAGAAATGAAAAAAAGTCGACAGTTCTCATTATCCGTACACATCGAGTCTATTTAAGTAAATTGTTAAAAGTGCTCTTTAACATTTCTATGATAATTTTTTGTATGTGGTAAGCCATTAAATTTGTATTATTCGTTGGGGTAATCTTTAATATATATATAGGCCTATATATGTATATATGTATATATATATGTATGTATATAGTTATAAAGTTTAATTATATAACTTGGTGCAAGTAAATATATATATACTTATGTGAATTTATAGCATATTTATAGTATATAAATAAGTTTATATCGTATCCATGCCCATATATTTATCCCACAAAGTTAAACATCTATGACTTACTAAGAAATTAAATATATCAAAAATGGCTTGAATTTTGATCCGTTCTCATCTTACCGGTATAGACAATGAGTCGCTACTTACTTATTATACAAGTTTGTACTCTCTTATATAACGCTTACCTGTAGTATTTGTACTGTATTGCCTCTGGATGTTGATGGAAAATTTCAAGTGGAAAGTCCTTGAGTAAATCAAGAGATCTGGTTTATAAAACAATGTGAAGGAATGTATTCATGACATGAACATTAAACCGAAAGGTTCACTGATTTATCTCAGGTAAGAAAGTATAATACATATTCCAAGTATTTAAATGCACGCCATAGTCTGAACCTTACGATAATAAAGGCTACAATTTTCTAACAATAATAAAGGCTTTAATATTCCTCTTACCTTAGAAACTCTATTGGAGGACCTATTATTGTATTTCGTAATTGGAAATAAACATGTTTATCGAGAACAAGTACTTCAACCATGCCTTTACATACGAGGTGGCACTGTCGTAACCATTGTCGCTCTAGTTCTTCAGCCTACACAGCAATTTGAAGAGAAACAAAATATGTCAAACATTAATGTTACCCAATAAATATGTTATTTATTGTAGGATAATGTTTAATAAATATATTTAATATAGAGATTTTTGAAATTTCGTGCTGGTAACTTTGGTTGATTTAATTTGATTCGGAGTAACGTTCATTTTATGTTATTTAAACATAATCAGTGCATCTGTTGGTAATTTGATTTAAATTGGCACATGGGTAAATATTTCCCAACAGTGAAATAATTTCTATCGGTAAATTTCCCGTTGATTTATAATCAGGCGGTACTGGGGAGAGACAACAAGATTTCTTGCTCCACAACACGAGTCCATTCGTAGAAGCTTGAAGAGAGCCTCTCTAGTGGTGGCCTAAATTGGCCGAGACCGGCTAAACATCGGCTTTGAATTTAGGACGAGTGAATTGCGTTAAACTGTGTACGGTATGCAGTGCGCACAATGTTTACAAAAGTTCTAGGCCTAGGTTCTAGTACATTAGGCCCTACATGTCTATTAATTTTTAGTACCGTACATTATCAATAATGAATGCAAAATAATATTTGAAAAAACAGTTGTTGTTTGTTGAGG